AAGGACCTTACAACATGTCCAAAGTATGTTAGACGGAGCCTCAGAATCCTTGCCTCCAAGGAGCCGCCCGGTTAGACCCTTTCCAGGATGAATCTGTTTGTTTTCCTAGCGGTTCATGGTATTCTCAATACTCTTCTCCAGCACCACAGCTCAAAGGCATCACTTCTCCTATCCTCTTTGGTCATTGTCCAACTCTCTGATGCATAACAAGTGATTGCGAAGACCATGGTCTGTATCAGACGCACCTTAGTCTCCAGAGAGACACCGTTGCTCTTCAGTCCTTTGGAGAGGTTCCTAACAGCAAACTTTCCCATGGCAATGCGCCTTTTAATTTCCTGGCTGCTGGTGCCAAGACTGTTGACTGTGGAGCCAAGCAAACTGAAGCTGTGAACAATCTCAATCTCTTCACCATCCATCCTGATGCTGCCAATAGAGGTTATTATCTATTAGGTTCTGCCTGCCATACTTGGTGCCAGGCTGGAAAGATAGTGTGTAAACCAGCCATGAGACTGACTGTGGCAACCAAGTGTCTTTCTCTTTGCTTTCTCACAGTTTTTCTCCTTCCTTTTCCTTTGCCTCAGTAGGCTTTTTGGTACACTGTTAAATGCCACCATGTTATTAGTGGCTGTAGAGGGAGTTTAAGCTTATGGCAACCTTATATACAATAGAATATAGATATGCTGGAAAAGTCTAGGGTTCACATCCACCTAGGCCTAAAATCCAGGCTGGCCTAGTACTGCTTGTTAGCTGATGTCTGTCACCTGTGGTTTTACAACAAAGTATTCCTTCCTGGCAGTGGTCCTGAGTGCGCATTTTAAGAATGACTTAGGAAATTGCTATGGAGGTAAGAATAGCTAAAGAAGGAGCTCTGGTGACACAATACAGACTATATTAGCCAAAAAGGTCAGAGGTTCGAATTCATCAGACCTCAGCAGAAAGATGGGCCATCTCCTCTCATAAACATTTACAGCTTTGGAAACCCAATGGAGGGTCATGGTGAATAGGACTCTATTCTATTGCAGTAAGTTTTAAGTGATGAAGCGAGCAAGGATATCCATTTCAAGACTAAGGTGCACCTTTTCTGCCATGGTCTTTTCAATTACTTCCTATGCATCTGAAAGCTAGAAAAATGAATGAAGATGACAAAAGAAGAATCGATGCTTTTGAGTTGTGATGTTAGAGAAGAATACTGAATAGTCAATGAATTACAAAAAAAACAAGTCTCTTTTGGAGGAAGTACAATCAGGATACTCACTAGAGCAAGGACAGTGAAACTTCATCCTCTCACATACTTGGGGCATGTTGTCAGGAGGGCATTCCTTGGCAAAGGACATTTTACTGGGAAAGGTAGAAGGCCAGAGAACGAGACGAACACTCCAATAGCGTGAATTTAACAGAGTGACTGTAACAATGGTCTCAGACAAATCACAAATTACGAAATGCCATAGGTTAGGGCAAGGTTCAGATCTGTTGTTGATAGGGTTGCTACAAGTTATTGTTAACAACACCTAACAACAACATGATGTGGCACCACACTTAGAAATCACATAGGGAATCAAAATCCTTGTGACTAGACAAATAACATCATAATAAATGGCAATTATCAAGGATTTAATTCTTCCTAGATCAACAGTCAATGCCCACAGAAGCATTAAACAAAAAAATCTACTGAGGTATCGCATTTGGTAAACCTACAAAAGGCACTGGAAGGTTCTAAATCGCAAATCTGTCACTTAGATAACTAAGGCACCTTACTCAAGTCATGTATTTTCAATTGCCTCAGCTGCATGTGAAAAATGAACAATGAGAAGGGAAGACCAAAGAATAATGGACTAATTAGAGTTGTGGTGTTGGCAAAGATTATTTGATACACTACAGGCTGCCAGAAGGTACGGCCAGAATGTTCCTTAAAGAGAGACTGATGAGGCTTCTTCTTTTTTAACCTTTTATTTTAATTTGTAAAATAAAAGTGAAAGCTTACAGAGCCAATTCTTTTTCATTCAGCAATTCATGCACTTTCTTTTCATGACACAGATCACAATCTCTACCGTGTAACAGCACTCTTCCCACTCCTTCCTTGTGTTTCCCGTTTCCATCTGTCCTGTCCTAGCCCTTCCTACCTCTTGAGTTCTACTTAAGGATAAAAGCTGCCCTTTTGATTATATATGGTGGATTTTCTAAGGTTTGTGCTTCTCATTTGTGTTATTGTTCACCTGGTATGTCTTATTGGTTTATTGTTTATCTGAAATTTGAGGGCTGAGTTCAGTTCCTTGCTTGAAAAGTGACTAAGGGTCAGAAAATTGAGGCTTTCATCACTTTCTAGCAGACAAATAAGACTAGTCGTTCTTATGATTTTGAGTTTGGTTCCACATTTCTCCTACTTTTTCAGAACCATTTTGTTATGATCCCTTTCAGAGAGTCCTGCATCAGTACCTGTGCATCACCTGGTTCTCTTTGGTCTCAGAGTCATGAAGAATGACATTTGCATAGTCCATGAGTCCTTTAGACTTAAACTTTTATGCTCTTCACTCTGTTTTTCCTAAATCTGAACAGTTGTACCTTAGATGCCGCTCACAACTTTTAAGATGCCAGTCACTACTCTTCAAAGTGGGACATAGAACAGAGACTACAGACTATGTTATACTAATTGGCCTTAATGTCCCTCACATCTCACTTTGGATGCATCATCAGGAGGGACCACTCATGGGAGGACACCTTGGTAAAGCAGGGCATTTGCGACAAAGAGGGTGGGTTCACACAGTGCCTGCTACAATGAACATAAATATAGTAATGATTGTGAGGATGGTACAGGATTGGGCAAAGTTTTGTGCTGTGTTACATAAGATCGCTCTAAATCAGAGCCAGCGTAATGGCACTAGCATCAGCAAAGTTTGGCAATATCACTTTTATTGTTTTGGGGAGCTTGAACTGTGTAGACAGGGTCACATAAAATTAGTATTTTGCGTGTTGTTAATGTACCAGTCATGACAATTTTGCTTCCAAAACATTTAGTAGGTTTTAAGAATACTCAAGTCCAGGTCACAACCAAGGCCATTCACATGAGACTATCTGGAGCTAGCACCTCAATGACTCCAATGTCAGAGGTAGAGAAACACCCAAGGACAATCTGAAAATATTTAAGTTGTTAAGGATTTCTTTTTACTTGGATCCACAATTAACATATTTGGTACCATTAGTCAGGAAATAAGGAGATGTATTGCACTGGGAAAGTCTGTAATCAGAGGCCTTTCCAAATTATTGAAGAATCATGATGTTAGTCTAAGGACTAGGGTATGCCTGATTCAAATAGTCTTTTCATTCACCTTCTATGCTGCTGAGAGCTGGACAATGTCTAAAGATGACAGAAGAAATAGATAACTTTGAGTTGTGGTTCTGGAAGAGAGTCTTGAACATACCATGGACTGCAAAAAGAACAAACACAGATGTCTTGGAGAAGGTGCAACCAGAGTGCTCTTTGGAGGCAAAGGTTAATTAATGTCACATACTTTGAGCATGTTGCTAGGAGAGGCTATTCATTGGAGAAGGACATCATGCTTGGGTAGGCAGAGGGACAGTGAAAGAGAGGAAGGCTTCAACCAGGTGGATTGACATAGTAACTTCAGCTATGGGCTCAAATGTGCCAGAGATTGTGATGGCATCACAGGATAAGACAGGATTCAGATCTGGTATGCATAGGGTCATTATGAGTACTATTTAACTTGATGGCACCTAACAACAACAAAATACTAAAAGAGCGAAGGAATCACTCAGACGTTTTAAAAGTAAAACTTCCAGAAGACTAGATCTGTGTACAACTTAATGAGCTTTATTTACAATTCACAAATGGAGGATGCTGTCCGGTGTGAAAATCAGACAAGAGATCCTAAGGACAAGTGCAAGAGACCAAGTTATAGAGACACAATGTTGAAAGAATAAGGAGGTGTAGCTGGGCAAAAACTCATTGGGTGACCCTGAATGGCTTTATTTATATGGATATTGGTACTAGAGCCCAAGCAGCATTCAGCTCCTGAATCTTGGGCATTTGCAGGAAATAGAAACTAGGTATTTTTATTGGTGGTGCTCACATAAGACTTAGCATAAATGAATTAATCTGGCTGTTGATTGTCTTCGAGTTGAGCATGACTCATAGCGACCCCATGAACAAAAGGCCTGAGGCCTTTCTAGAAATATCGACATTTATCAAAGTTCATAGAGTTTCAGGAGGCATGATAAGCCTAGTTTAATTATCAGAAGAAATACAAAATAGTCTATAGAGGTTTAAATAGCAAGACTTTGGGTCAGTTTCTTTGCCCATGTCATAGGAAAGGCCAATTAGAAGAAAAAGAAACCCTTTTTGCTAGAGGATAATGAAAAGGAGAGAAACCCCTTAATGAAATGGATTGACACAATATTGCAGTTATCAGGAAGATGGCACAGGATCAGATATTTCCTTCTGATTAAAATTCCTGTCACGAGTAGTAGCAACTGGAATTAACAACAAACACTGAAAGCAAAAACATACACCCGAAAAGAAATACTGAAGGCGTTCCTCCACTTGAAAAACTAAAAGGAGTTATGACCACAGCTTTAAAAAAATTCAGACTATAATTATGACAGTGAATGCAGGGGAGCTCTGGTGGCCTAGTGGCAAGAAGCTACACTGCAATCCCAGAAGTGTGTAGTTCAAATCCCCAGATGCTCTGCTGGAGAAGGAGGGACAATCTCCTCCTGGACCAGTCAGATCCGATTTAACAGTACACACAAAAAAAATAATAAAATAAAAATTAAAAAAAAGAGAGTGAATGCAATTCCCCCTTTTCTTAAATAGCTGAGAAAACAACTCGGCAAGCAGAGTTGCTGGCAGCGACTCTGGCGGTTTAAATCCAGCAATGGTTCCTGTGGAGAAAGATGGGTAAACTATCATAACATTTACCACCTCCAAACCCCCCTGGAGTAAAAGATAAAGTTCAGTTTACCCCCTCTGGGCACTCCGTACGCAAATGGGCGTGGCTTATGCTATGGGCGGTAACTGGAGACGTTTTGGGGTGGGGCTGAGGATAAAGAGGACTGGAATATTGCGGTGGGGCGGGGCTTTTCCTGGAAAGGGGTGGAGTTAAGTTGGAGGGGGTCATAGCTTCAAGAGGCTGATAGGGGCAGGGCTCAGGCGCTCTATGGTAGGTCATTGGCAGAGGGGCGGGTCATGTGGGCGGGGCAGTGACCACAGCGTCATAACAGTCCTGGAAGGGGGCGTGGCTAGACTGGGGGCGGAGTTCAGGAACCATCGAGAGGCGGGGCTGATTGGCCTGAGAGCAGTTTCCCCCGGCGGCGCAGATCTCAGGCGAGGCCGGGCTGCGGGAGACGCGGTTCTGCGTGGCTCCCGCTGCTCGCGCGCCTGGGGGTCGGCAGGAGCAGCGCGGCCGCAGGCCTATGGCGCCGGCAGCGGCCCTGTCGGCAGCAGCGGCGGCGGCGGCCCTCTCGGGCCTGGCAGTGCGACTGTCGCGCTCGGTGGCGGTCCGCGGCTCTTACAGCGCCTTCTGTAAGGGGCTCACGCGCACGCTGCTCACCTTCTTCGACCTGGCCTGGCGGCTGCGCATGAACTTCCCCTGCTTCTACGTGGTGGCCTCGGTGATGTTCAATGTGCGCCTGCAGGTGCGCATCGAGTGAGGCGCGGGG